ACCGGGAAGCAGGCTCTTGGTGTCCCTGGGGTTGAGCGCACATGTGACCTGCTCCCAGTGACCAGCTGGTGACAGGGTTGATACCACCGGGCTGTGCTGGTGCTGAGCCCCAGGTGGACTTTGGTGGCTTGCTGAGTTCTTGTCACACAGGGTTTTTCTGAGGATCAGGTCTTTTTATTAGTTCTGTCTCCAGTTGGACTTTAGCCCAGTGCCGGCTGCCCTCGGGCTGATGCACTGCAGGGCACTGGCCTCATCACTGCCTGGGTAAAGCACCTCTCCAGCACCTCCCTGGTGGGGTTGTTCAGGTGAGAAAGACCAGGCTCTGCCACTGTCACTGCCCCACTTGCTCACTGAACCCCATGGCATCCCTGGTCCCTCGAGTCTGGCCCCGTGTCAGACTACAGCGCTGTCCTGTGTGGGGGGAGTGTGTCTGCCCCCCTGTATGTCACGGGGCCAGCACTCCCTCCAGGCCATCGAGACCGTCTGTGCTGTGCTTTCTACTCCTGGATCTCTCCATGGACTGGGAAAAATAAAAGCGTCATGGTTAATGAAGCTCAGGCGAGTCCCCTGCCAGACCTGGGGGGCTGAGAACGTGCAGTCCCCAAGGGGAACAGAGCCCTGACACACTGTGGGGTGTGCTGCTTGCTTGTGGGGGCTGTGCTGGAGTGATGCAAGAAGCTGGAGATGCCCCATGGCTTTTGGGGGGCCAGCCCCAGCTGGAGGTGCTCCCCAGTCTTTGGGCACAACCTGTGCACGGTGACTGCGGGTGGTTTCTCTCTGCGTGGGAGCAGGAAGTGGGTGACGCGGGTGACATGGCCGCATGGTCCCGGAAGGTTTCTCAACAGGTAGCAGGAAATCTTGCGGCTGGGGGCAGGGCTCAGGGCGGCAAAGGCGACAGGGTTTGGAGATGTTGCCCTAGCCTGGTGCCTACTGCACAGGGTGAGAAGATGCCAGGTGGGATGGCAAGCCCAGCTGGAGCAGGCAGAAAGAGATTTCTCTCCTGGAAACATATTGGTGGGCTTGTTCTCAGGGGCAGCTGGTGCCTGCGGCCCCTGACAGCCCTGTCCCAGGCCCATGGGGTGGTGGGATTCCTCTGGGATTGCTGTGGTGGGGAACAGGAGGTTTGCATGTGTCAGAGTCCTGTTTGTTTTATTGGGCTGGACTTGCCTTTATTTGCTTAATGAGCCTGGAGACACCGAGTGCCGCTGCTGGGAGAGCTGGCAACAGCACCCGCACCCTGCTTGGGGCTGAACAAGGATTTAACATCGCCCACCTTCAAGCAGAATCTGACCTCTCCACAAGCCCTGCTGGCTCCTGTACGGTCAGGACTCCCCTGCGCCGGGGGCTCGGACATTCCCATGGCACCCAGTGCTGGGCATGGGCTTGGGAGATTTGGTGTGGGAGATCATCGTGGGCTCCCTTCTCCTTTCTAAAAAATCCTGAGTGTGCAAATCCCTCTGATACTGGGGTGGAGGTTTCCCTGGAGAGAGCTGATCCATGCACCCCTCTTTGGCGCTGAGCCAGCAAGGTGACAGTTTTACACCCCTGAGGCCAGCCCTGCTTCCGGGGCCGTGCACTGTGAGGACTGTCCCCAGTGCTCAGCGGGGAGCCCTGACGGCTCACCCTCCCCCTGCTTGCGTTTCCGGAGCCTTTGCCCGCTCAAAGTGTCTTGAGAAAGTTTCATGCAAACTGCATGGTGTTAGAGCAGCCCTGATACGGACTGGGGCTGCTTCTACCAGAGCAAAGCTTTTGCTGCTGGTCCTGGGCTTCCCTTGCAAATTTAGTGCTAAATTAGAGCCCTTCCTGCCAGAAAAGCTCATTCCTCCTTGTAAAATCTGGGTGAGCCTCCCATGGCTGGGTTTTGGGGTACAACAGGCAGCAGATTCCTCCATTTGGGAGTATTACAGTGAGGGTAGCTCCTGTCTAATTAGGAAATGAATTCAATTTCCTCTCAAAGCAGCTGCATGAAAAGCAGCTCCAGTCAAACGGGACGTGACGGGGATGCTGTGAGGAGGCTGCTTTGCATCCCCTTTGTATGAAGCCCAAATGCGTGCGCCAGATTTCGGGACCCGTGTGAATTTGCTGGCTTGGGTGTCCTCAGAGCCGTCATGTTTCTCTTTGAGTAACCAGGAACACCGCTACCGCCGGGCTTGTCGCTGCTTGTAGGGCTGTGGGAAGTTTCCTGGAACTTGGGATTTCAAAAGCTGCCTTGAAATTGCTGTTGGGGAGCGGGGGGAGCGCATCCTGATGTGCTGTGCAGTTGAGCTCCCCACATCCCTGGGGTGGCTGGTCCTGCAGAGCAGCTGGAGTTGCTGGTGAGGGGTGGTCCAGCACAGTCCCAAAGGAAAATGGGTCTAGAGATGCCCCACATCCTGTTCCAGGGCAGAAATGGGAATGTGATGCTGCTGAGCACACCATCCCAAACAGGTATCTCTGCAGATAGAAGATGTCCCTCTGCCACCCCCTGGGCACTGAGGAGAGTGGTGGCATGAGATGCCCATGCTGGGGGCCAAGTTCAGCTTCCCCCGCTGCCCTCCCCGTCAAAGGCTGTAATTGCTCCTAACGAAGCTCTGACGCTAATCCAAGCCTCAGCGCAGCAGGACGGCTGCTGGCGTTGGAAAGCATGCTAAAGCTTATAGAAATTAGGGGCATTTCTGTGCGCCTGCTATCCAGCTCTCCGCATCCCAGGTGTCAACCCCAGACCCTCTCACCTCAGGTCCCTTCTGGCTGCGGGGGGTTTTGGGGCTGGAGGGAAGCCCTGCCATAGGCTGCTCACCCCATGGATGGGCAGGATATGGCTGCTGGGGGATCAGATGCATTTATATTTTTCTCAGGGAAACAGAATGGTAGCTGCCCGTGGGGTTTCTTCTGGCACGAGGGATTTGGGGAGGGTGAAGGCAGTGTGGCACACTGGGCTGGAGGAGCTGCCAGCCACTGGCGGGGGGGTGCTGGCTGGGCTGGGCATCCCTCGTACTGGGTGCTCCTGCTTTCAGCAGCTGCCTCACAGGGCTCAGTGCCTCCCTCATGGCTGTGACCTGTCCCCAGGCTCTCATCCTCCCCAAAATTCACAGCCCCAGTGTCTCTGGGAGCCCAGGCTGCTGGGGCTTTGTTGGTATGGGTGGAAATGAAGTCCTCCCTCCTCCTCCTCCTCTCCTGGGAGCGCTGCCAGCGCTGCTTGCCGGGTGCTCCCTCCGGCTTTGTCCTGAGCTATCGGTGTGGAGCAACCCCATGGTGCTGCCAAGGGCGCCAGGAGCATGGGTGTTCACAGAGCCCGAAACCCCCTTCCCAGGGCTGGGCCAGGGCAGGCACCCGGGAATCAGAATCACAGAATCACAGAACGTTAGGGATTGGAAGGGACCTCAAAAGATCATCTAGTCCAATCCCCCTGCCGGAGCAGGAACGCCTAGATGACGTTGCACAGGAAGGCGTCCAGGCGGGTTTTGAATGTCTCCAGAGAAGGAGACTCCACAACCTCTCTGGGAAGGTGCCGTCTTCCTCCAAACTCCACAATCTCCTGCATTTCAGTCTTGATTTGGGTCTTCCCTGTCCCCAGCTGAGCCCTGGGAGTCCCGGGCTCACCTTTGCTCCCTGGCAGACCCAGCTTGGTGCTTCCCTCCCTGGGGTGTTGGCAAGTGGGGCTGGGTTGCAGCCGGCCTTGGCCCTTGCAGGAAGGCGTTGTGCAAGAGGACAGGGTTTTATCACCCTACTGGGCTCAGCGATTGCAAATGCATTGCCCTGGCCTGTGTGAGGCCCTGTGGTGCTGCCAGAAATGGGGTGCCAGCACCCCAGTGACCAGGCTCACCTGGCAAGGGGCAAAGAGGGTCTCATAGCAAGAAGGGAGCATGCTGTGCAGGGGGTAAAGAGCAGCATGGTGCAAGTATGGTAGGGGAAATCTCTGAGTGCATGTCACCAGTGATGCTATGGGTACCAAAGGAGAACAAACAATCTCAGAAGAAAGAATAAATGTTAAACCCCTGGTGAGGAGTATTTCAGGAACTCGAGTACAGCTTGACTGCATCAAAGCCCAGGAGCTGGTGGTCAAAGCAGGATCAAACCATTTTATGTATAAATATGTGGAAGTGTTGTTGGAGTGGGTGCTGGGGTTGGAGCAGTTCTGATCACGCTGCACGTAGAAAGCTGGTTTGTGTTGCCTGGTACCTCTAATGTTTCCTGGGCATCCCATTCCCTACCAGGTGAGCCAGCTCCTATTTGCCGAGCTCGTGGGGACAGTCCTGCTTCTCCCTGCTGCTCACAGTGTGGGTAACTGTGCTCTTCAAGGACTAGGGGGGCAGGTGTGGGGCTGCAGCCCCATGATCCCAGGTTCCCCAGCTCTGGGTGCTGTTGGATCCATGAGTCAGGGTGAAGCCGGGTGCAGACAAGCTGGGTGTTGTCTCCTGGAGAGGTGAATGTCCCATGTCACATCACCCCAGTCCAGCTGGTTTCTCTGTTTTGCAGTCGTGAAGGGTCATGTCACAATGTTGGGGCTGCACCGTCTGCCTCCCTGCTTGAGCTCCTGGTGCCCCTTCTCCACCAGCAATGGCTTTAGGGTGGGGGGGTCCCACTGGTCCCACAGTTGGGTTTGCCATGGAGAGAGGCTGGAGCTAGCAGGGGGCTGATGGAGGGGATCTCCGCCCTGCGTCTGAGACTTCTCTGGTAGCAAAGGCTTCCTGGGTGGGATGGGGTGGGGACACATCCAGCAGCCTGGGCTGTGCTTCCTCCTCCATCTTTATGGGGCAGTTGCAGTCCTGACCCCAAAAGGAAGAGCGTGATCTAGGCACACACATCATAACATGTTTTGCTGCAATTAGTGAGCCCTGCACCTAATTAATTAACTAAAGCCTGGGTTCATAGTGTGTTTCAGCCCCCTGTGTCCCAACTCGAGGTGTCACCACCCGAGGATGGTGTCCCTGCCACCCAAGCAGGCACCTGGTGTCCCCAGTGGAGTCCCTGGGTGCTGAGGGTTCTGGGAGCAGCTTTCTCACCGACTCTCTCCATTGCAGGAGGAGCTGCGGCCTCGCCTGTGCCACATAAAGAAGGGCCCCAATGGCTACGGCTTCAACCTGCACAGTGACAAGAGCCGCCCGGGGCAGTACGTGCGTGCTGTCGACCCCGACTCGCCAGCTGAGGCAGCAGGGCTGGCCTCCCAGGATCGCATCATTGAGGTATGCCAGGGCAAGGGGTTCTCTCCAAAAAGCTCAGTGTTCCCTCGCATCCTGGTGCCCTGGAGGGAGGAGCCCTTTGCCGGGACAGTGTGCGGTGTCCCTGGTGATTCACGGGACAGCCGCCTGACCTGTGCCAGGCTGCTGGTCCCCACCCAGAGGTGCAGCCCCGCAGAGGGCTGAGCACTAATTACCCAGCTGTTGATTAAGCAGCTGTAGTGCTGTCCCCTGCATGGAGCAGGAGTGTCCCTGGGCTGTCCCTGGGGTGGGGCAGGCTGAGGATAAGGTATACGATGCCTCTAAGCCCTGCTGCCAGCTGTGACTGGGGTGGGAACAGGAACAGGGCTTGTGCCAAGCGGGATGGTGACCCACAAGGGCAAGGGTCAGCCTCAGCCCTGCTGCTCACCAGGGCATGGGCCTGCTATCAATTTTGGGGTGAAGCTTTGGGCTCTCCAGGGTCTTTGTGCCTTGCCCATGCTGCCCATCTCCTGTGCCAGGTCTGTGCCCTGCCAGGCGCTCTCTGACAGCTTTGCCTGTACGATCCCCTGCTAATCGCCCCGAGGAAAATCTGCTTTTAATGAGGTTTTACAGGCTTCATTGCTAATCCCTATGAGGCTCCGGATACCTGCAGGGGCTGTGAAGTAGCTGTGCTGGGGCTGTGACTGTGACTGGTACCAGGGCTGGTACCTGTCCCCTTTGTGGAGCTCCCAAGGGACAGATGTCCCCTGGCTCCATCCGTGATGTGGTGCCATGTCTGTAGGTGAATGGGGTGTGCATGGAGGGCAAACAGCATGCTGACGTGGTGGCGGCCATCAAGGCTGGCGGTGATGAGACCAGGCTGCTGGTGGTGGATGTCCTCACAGACGAGTTCTTCAAGAAGTGCAAGGTGGTGCCCTCGGAGGATCACCTGGCAGGTGGGCTGTGGGCTGTGCTGCATGGAGGGGTAGTGTGGCACCTCTGCTGGCTCCATGTCACCTCGTCCCCAAAGCTGGGGTGCTGGGGGAGTCCCTGAGCCCTGGGAGGCGATGGAGGTCTCGTCACACCAGGGCCAAACAGGGTGGATTTGACATCTCCCTGCCCAGTCAAGGGTGCTGTGCAGGGGTGGTGGGACTGACGTGGTCTCTGTGAAAGGCGGGTTTATGGCCCCGGATTGCACTTTGGCAGGGTTTATGGCTCGGGCAGTGAACAGGCAGCAGCCGCCCTTTGCTCAGCTGTGGCCCCCTCCCTGCTGTCATGGTGGTCCCCGGGAGGAGGAGGGGGTTTCACTGGGCTCCATGTCATGGTTGTCATCATGGGGATGTGCCTGGTGCTCAGCAGCATCCCTCTGTGCTGCGGGGCTGTCTGTGAGGGGTGGGTCACAAAATTCGGGACCCAGCTGGCCCCTGGGCAGTGTTGGGTCAGTGCTGGCCACGTGCAGCCTTTGCTGGGCACTGCTGTGCCCGTTGGCAAGGGGGCAAACTTGTCCTCATTCAGTGCCTGTGTCCTTGCCCTGCAGGTCCCTTGCCAGAACCAGTTGCCAATGGCGATATAGGGAAGGTAAGAGAAGTCTCATCTTGCTTTTAATCTCATCTATTCTAGTCCCTGGGTGGGGACCCTGCCTATTTAGGTGTCCCCCCTGCCCTCTGCCCATGAGTGGGTGATGCCACCAGGGACCCCAATGCTCTTAGGCTCACACAAGACCAGGTGCTATCAGGAAGGGGACCAGGAGCTGGTGCCTCCCAGGAAGGGGGTTGCCTGTGGGGCTGAGTGTCATGGAGGTGGCTGCGGTGCCTTCCACTCCCATCCTCATGATGCTGCAGGGCTGGAAGGCCTCATGCTGCAGGGCAGTAGCAT